TACAAAATGTCAGCTAATGTATAGGCTTGCTGACGTGGACTAGAGTGCAGAGAGCCTTCAGACCAGACCTTAATGCAGAGTGGGGTGCCTCTCGGCATTTGTAGATGTAGCTAAAGAGCTTGTGAAAGTCTTAGCAGGTCAGAGACGGGGCCAACAGATCAAGAAGCAAAGGGGCAGAAAGTCAGCTAGAGACTTCTCTGTGGGCAGGGCTAAGAAGTTGTTTTTCTGACCAAAGAATTGTGTCCTGAGTAATTTCTGATCCTGAATCATAATCTGTGACTTCAAGTAAAAACAGAACAAAACATAATCCGGAGTACTATCTGTGAATTCTGGGTGGTCATTGCAACAGATTATCAAAGCAGTAGAGTAGAGGGATTTGGGAGGAACACTAGGAAAAATGTTGGAGAGGAGGCACGTCCTCCATCTTATAGAAATCCGTCTTGGGCCGTTGATCTTGATTCTCCTCCCATTTATAAAGTCAGAGAAGATTAGATGCATCCACCATGCCACTCTTACATTGGTCAAGAAAAAACTGACAAGTGAGGAGGAGGACTACATGTGTACTATATCAAACAGCAAGTTTAAAAGGCAAAATCCAAATACCCAATAGGGCATCAGTTTAGCTTCACTGACCTCCAATTAAGGAATATCATTACCAGACATTCAAAAGTCAAGAGGCATGATTGAGTTTTCAGAATGAGAAAACACACACACACACACACACACACACACACACACATACACACACACACACACATATATATAAAGTCATGGTACTCTATGGGTACTGAGACCTTGTAGCCTGGCCCTACAGTTTAATAAACCAAATCCTAGGGCTAAGAAAGCGGTGGTGGAGTAGTGAGCCACACACTGAACTTCTAACTGCAAGGTTAGCAGTTCTAATCTACCAACTGCTCCTCAGGAGACAGATAAGGCTGTTTACTCAGACATAGATTTAAAGTCTCAGAAACAAATGAAGCAGTTCTTCTCTGCCATATAGAAGATCTAAAGTTGGAATCGACTCAATTGCAGTCAGTTTGTTTGTTTTTTTAGATTATGGCTAAGAAAGCAAATTTACATTTAGTTCACTAATTTAAGTTCAGTGCACTATTTTGATTTGTAAGCTGCGTTTACCCAATTTACTCCATCCTACCTATGATCCTCAGGAGATGATACTACATAGGGGTTTTTACAAAGTTCATGGTACTAAAAGATGGTACCATTTTTCCATGAACTTTCTGAAAGTCCCTTCATGTATACTGCCTGTTACCTGCAGGGGAAGACACTCAAGTAGATTCTTGAGACCATGGAAAACACCAAACCCTATAGATACTATGCTTTCTTCTGCCTATACATGTCTATGATAGTTTGTTTTCTAAATGACACATAGAAAGAGACTGACAAGATAAACTAATAACAATAGAACAATAATAAAAGTTATTTTTGTTCTTTCCTTATTAAGCCAATGATGTTTTCCTCTTGCATGGAAAAGGAACTCTATGGCTTCTCTTTGGCATATGTGAATGGCCAGCATGACTACTCTTAAGCTCTGAGGCCAGCTATCAAGTGAAATAAGGGTTACATGAACACAAGTCCTGATACAACTCCAGTCTGATAAGCATGCCTGTCAAGTGGCTACCAGGAAGGTATGGAGTGGGATGGCCGGAGATTTCTTCACACTACTCAGCACAACACAAAATTTACAACTTATGTATTGCTGACTCTAACTCATCGTGACCAGTAGGACAGAGTAGAACTGTCCTATGGGTTTCCAAAGCTATGATCTTTATGGAAGCAGACTAGAGCTGAAGACTGCCCCCTCGACTTCCTATCTCTCAAAGGATCTATTTGTAACACTTCTCACTCTTCCACTGTACCTCCAAGTTTCAATTGTGGACTGCAGAGAGAACGGAATAGCCCTAAACTCTGGAAGAATGCCAAAATCCACTGTTTGTGATTTGACAATGGCATTTCCAGAGAAAGCCTGCTATTATGAACTCGCTGTGACATCTGTATCTGAGTGTTCATTGAACTAAACTGAATAAACTTTCCCAGGGGCCTCCCACCCTCTTCATGCCACACGGTCTGCAAACACCCCTACATTGGGCCTGTGTGCCTCATACAGACAAGCTTCCAAAGGGCCTACCCAACTATACGACCAATCACATGATTTGAGAATTGTCAAAAATGCACCAAGAAAGCATAACTGTGGATAAACACACAAAAAGAGATTCTCTCCCAGACTGCAGGTATCAAAAATGGCACTCACTTGAGCCAACCTTGGCATTACTTCTATCAACAATAGCATTGCTTTTTTTTCTAAATCATTTTATTGGGGGCTTGTACAACTTTTATCACAATCCATACACACATCCATTGTGTAGTTAAGCACACAAGAGCGCCTAATAAAACGTTTAAAAAACAATAGCATTGCTTTCATCTTAGTTGAGATTCAAATGGCTACACTAAAGCAAGGACACTACGGAATGTGGGGAGAGAATTAACATATTCCTGCTGCTTTTTTTTTTGGCACAATCCTTGCTGGCTGATGAAAGTGTTTTGGGCATTTTACTCGACAGGGCTGACATGAACTCTGTCAAAGACTAAATTTAAAAGTTTCTTTAAACACAATGGCCAATGGTACACCAGGAACATAGTCTAAGAAATTGTATAATTATATGGATAAACCTTGAAAGCATCATGCTGAGTGAAGAGAGATGGTCACAAAAAGATAAATACCATATGATCCTTACTCATATAAAGTAGGCAAATGTACGCAAACCAGAACTCTCAGCAGGAGGAGAAGGAAGAAAAAAGAAGCCATTGCTTGGGGGACAATGTTTATGTTAATGGTGGTAGAATCACCTGGAAAAGAATAAGTGGAAAAAAAGGAGGAGCTGATACCAAGGGCTCAAGCAGAAAGAAAATGCTTTGAGATGATGATGGCAACAAATGTACAAATGTGCTTGACGCAATGGATGGATGTATGGATTGTGATAAGAGTTGTAAGACTCCCCAATAAAATGATTTTAAAAAAAGAATTTGAAGTACTAGACTGTTTACACTCTGAGGGCAGAACCATGCCAGTCACCTATTGGCTGGTCCTTTGTGCCCATCTCTGCACATGACTTCCTGCTCACAGCTATTCATTTTTTAAAGTTAGAAGAAAAAGATCACAGAAGATAAAGGTGCTATAGCAAAGTTTGGTGAAGAAGCAGATGATGCCCAGCTCTATCAATTGGAATAGTGTCTGGGGTCTTAAAGGCTTGTATTCAAACAAGCAGCCATCTAAGTGAGGAGTCAACTAAGTCCAGATTGAAGAAGCGCACCAGCCTGTGTGATCCAAAGATAATAATAACAAAATCCAAATGTGATGAAGGGCAAAGTATCAGAGCTTAAACTATGAGCACCCTATTTGTTTAAGTCTGTGAAGGACAGTGTGAGCCCCAAATCCATCCGCAGAGTACCTAGTTGGATTATGCCTCTGGTAGATCTCCTCTGGCCACAATCGAGGGATTCAAACAGCTTTGCTATCAGACAGATTATTGTAAACTAGATTATGGGGGAATAGGACTATGGTATAATACCTGGTCAGTTGACCTTCCTCTTGAGTCAACCTGAATTTGCTTGATTTAAATATTTCTTGCTTGCTCCACAACAGAAATTTTCTCTCTGGCTTAT